TCCATACGTATAAAGACTGTAATTCCTATCGATCTGAACAAAATCAATGGCTTCAAAAGAAGAGAAGCTAGCCTTTCGGGACAAGTGCGAAGAACACCTTAAGGATGCGATTGCAATACGGAATGTTTTAAATGAACAACTTGAGACTGCAGAAAGGCTAAAGTACATTACTGCAGAAGCGGCGCTGGAGACATCGATATGGTATAAATATTGGCAGGACCAATACGACAGTTTGAGCGAACAAATTAGCCTGAACCCGGGCAACAAAAGCTTGACGGTGGCTCTAGATGAAGCTACGTCCCGCTTGGCTCAATGGGGAGTCGAAAATTCTGAAGCAGCTAACGAAGCTATGTTAGCGGCAAAAGAAGTCGATATCCTGCGAACTAAATCAGCTGGCTTGGAAAGGGTAATCGACCAACTAAACAAGGACACTGGGAGGACAGGAATTTTGTGGTCGATATTTAAAAAGAAGCAGGAGGTCCTGCCTACACCCTGGGATGTGCGTCCACGCGATTACCATCCTGAGAGTCGTAATGAAGCGGATATGCTCTCGATGTCATCCGAGGCTGTTCCGGCGAAGAGTGCGATGATGCCTGCTGTTATACATGGACTAGAGGGATTGCATCCACATTTCGGGTCGGCGTTTTCTTTAGCAACTAATGCTATGACAAAGACATTAGCGACATTCGTTTCTAACATGATTCAAGGAACACTGGCAGGAGCCCACAATCCGCACGTCTATCCGTTCTTTATGCGTAATTCTAATTACCATTGTCAGGATAGCAGGCTCTCGCATAGTCAACCGCCCGCTGACGGTCGCTACACACGTGGTCCATATCCACATATGTATGGTCAACGTCCCTCCTGCTATCAAGTGTGTAGCCATATTCAGTGTCAATGTGCTGCTAATCAGGGATCTGCACAGTATATGAATCACACATTGATGTAACTAGAAATTTAGCCGCTAGTGGCCGAGTACACACTTGGTCATCGTCCTTGATCATCAAATCCGCTAGCTTTATCGGCGTATGGAGGATCACGCCTGAGTATAATCAACCGCTGAAGGGGCCAGCACGTACTTCATATTCTCCAGGTACAATGCCGGATTACATGAGCAATGCATGTAAATGAGCCGTACGAGGAAATGAGTCCTCACAAAATGTATCTATCACAAGTAAAAGCGTGTAACTTGTCGTGCGACAACTTGGTAGCAAATATATAAAGAGGGCAAAGCACGCCAATTACTAAGATGTCTATGTACTACTTAGAATTGCGTATACATTGCGCAGATCGTTTCAATACTGTCGTCTCTATTTGAAAATTTCTATTCCGGGAATGTAGAACACAGTATTAGTTTAGCGGTTTCAGTATGACATACCGAAAGGCAGACAGGAAATGTCGAAACTAAGGAGCCATCAACTAATGAATTGTTTGTTATTCAACGTACGGCGCTAGTAGTAAAAAACTGATAGCTAAGTACTTTGAAGACATTAACACTAGTAATAGCTCAGCTCTAAAATTACGAAGTGCTTTGCCGGCGTATCTAATAGATGTTTGCGGTATGCTTATTTTTAAAACAATACTCGTATCTAATTATGTGCAGGTCTCCGATGGGTTGTATAAAAAAACTGCTACAAAATCGTTTTTTCTTCAGGAATCTTCTATAGTAGATAGCTAGATAGGCAGGAAATTATTGACATCCACTTTTGAGCTGCGCAGGTCAGTAATAATCGATCTAGGGTTTAGAAAGTGTTCAGTCAGCGCCTAGGCGCTTCTCGTTAACAGCTGGAATTGAACATGTCTGTTACTCCATATACGAATAAGACCCTCGAATCTTCGAGTATCCGTTCTTCACTTCCTATAAGGCGTGGCAAAACTATTATACGAATATATTAAATATAAACAAAGCGCTGTATTTTATCTAGCGGTAGTTCAACGGGCAAATGCGCAACCATTATGTATGTTTGTTGCACGTTTATCGCAAGCCGTTGTAGTCATAATTGTGCCGCTTCTTTGCGTCCTGTAGGTGTCACAAACCGCAGACAAACTTCCTCCCAAGACGTATTAGAGCAGCGCGCTATAATGTTCCAAATGCAAGAGAGGTAAATAAACGTTTGTGTCCGGATTGTTCTAAGCTTCGTTCAATTCACGGTTAGATGCAGGGATTAGAGCTTCAATCGTCGTGTCCTTCCGAACTATTTTCGGTACCATGGAAAAATACGACCATCGCCCTAACGCAAGCCCTACGGTGCTCTATGCAAAGAACACTCGCAGTGGCCGCACAAGTCACGGCTGGTGTAACGCACATGTTTTCTGTAGTCTGTCTGAGTTTCGGCAAACGCTTGTCGCGTGCTTAAACTGGCCATCGATGATTTCAGTTTTATCATCCGAGCGACACCGCACGCAGTGCTGGATTAACCGAATAGTACTTGTAACCCCAGGACAAAATGGTGTAAATGGGATAGCTTTTTTTGGTTTTATATTTGGAGGTTTCATTGGTTCAACGAGATTACTTGTCGCATGCACGTGTTTAGGTCCTTACCTAGGTTGTCCATGGCCTAAACAGACAGCGAACTGATTAACCAGAACTCGACAAAAGCGCTGCGGAATCGGAGCCCTGGAGACCGTTTCGGTCGTGTTTGATGGTTAAAGGGCGTACGGTTTTTTTTAACTTATTTTTATAGTAGCAGACGTAGCAGAAAATGCTTTGCACTATTAAACATGGACTAGAAAACAGCGAAAATATGCTATGTACATACGTGAGTAGAAAGAATAGGTTCTGCTTCCCGAAGACACAATGATTTGACGTACGCTATGCCACAACTAACTCGGAAGTAGTACGTATTACGCAGTGTCTTCGCGCCGGCCCTAACGTAAAAAAATAGATTCCTTAAAAGTCATTGTCAGCTAGAAGCGCGTAGCTACTCGAGGCCAATGCCAGTAAAGACACGGGCTGTTGTCGTGGCTTCTTAACTGTCGTTTATTACTTTTAATGATGAGGGAACTATGTACAATATGCTTATGTACAGTTTCACACGTACCTGCGTTAGATTTATTCGTAGATCTATTATCTCAGCCAATCGCAATTTGAGCAATTTTTGCTCAAATTTTATTATCTATGACAAATTAGAATATGTCATTTGTTTATTGCAGATACCATTATTTGCATACGGATAAAATGGCTACCTCTTTCTGAATATGCTATATGTACACATGCATCTGGCTTAAAAATAAATTAGCACAATTTCCATCTATTTACATATCTATCTTAACTGCAAAAAAATCTCAACGTTAGAGCAGGGTAGGACACCAATTTCTGATTATTGCAGGTACATTAAATACACTAACGTTAATATGACGATTACCTTATTTTTCCGACGTGCGTAAATGTTGTTCTTGTAAGCTACTTTACAGTCTTAATCCCATAACGGTATATTCGGCGAGATCAGTTGGTGATTTCTTCAACGCTTAGATTGGAGTCGTTTCTGAATTAGCTATGCCGTCCCAAGAGTAAAAATTATTGAAAATTGATAAATACTTGCAGTGTACGGTAGGTCCACTGGGAAAAGAACCTCAAATCACCAACAAACAGCGTCGAACACCAGTTGTTACATGAACCTATACGAGATACGAATATATACATATTTTTATCCTCGATTATAGCTGAAAATTCAATTCAGAAGGCCAATATTGTCGAGTAGTCCAAAACAACCAATCCGCTTTGTGGCAGTAATAAACGAGGATCAGATGCATTTTACGCTAACAATTAAGATCACGCGCTTTGTCGTGAAATAGTTTAGGCAAGCCAGCTAAATGAACACCTCAGTAGGTTAGAGTACTACAGTTCCATTTCTGAAAATAGCGGCACGTAATATCATCAGCGGGCACAACAAAACGTAAATTTTAAAAACACAGAAAACAAAGTATAATATCGGTGCACTAAAACGCCACGGAGTAAACAACAACGAATTACTATAGATTTTAACTACGGAGCAGCTGTAAATATGAAACGCCATTCTAAATGCACGATCGAACCAAAACTCCGTATCAACACTCTGGTGACAATGTTTAAAAGGTAAACAAATACGTTTAGGGTAACGTGTATAAAAGCAGGTCGTACATTTTTTAACTTTGGTAATAAAAATCTTCGCAGACTTTATCGATGCATATATGTATTTATGATCAGTTCACTGATGGAAAAATGGCAGCAGAGTCAAGCCCAACATATGGTTGATAAACGTAATTTAAATTTAAGGCCCTCAATGGGCTATTCAGTTTCAACGGAGTTATGTGAACAACATCTGTGCTGACAGACGGTAGTCTCTGCCACAGGAAAATAGTAGCCTACCTTAGTTCTTTTTGCTTTTACAGAGACACGGTGGCAGTTACCCCGTAAACGGCAAGAACTATGGCAAATAGGTCAGACAGTTAGGTGTATATATAGGTAGATAAAGCACATTTCTTCCAGATCTCTCTTCCTTTGACTGACATAGTGTAATGGCATAGAAGATGATCTAGTATTTATCTTGGTCACGAGTGCTGCGGCTCTGAGAACCACCGAACTTTCAAAGCCAACCTCACACCTCATGCGATCACCCCCAAAAATTATCTTTCAAAAATTCTATATATATCTAGATATATATCTATAGATATAGATCATCGGGCGTAGATATGTGAATGGTCTCGAATTTTAGCTTCTGCAATTTGCACAATGAGCGACTGAATACAAGTATCCACCTTCCAGCTAAACAAATACATACATCGCAGAGTCCAAGTGTGAAATTATAGTTTCTGACGCAGCGACTATTTAGAATTTAAAGTAAGTTGTGCTGATGGTTTTCTCTATTTGATACTTAATACACAGTTATATAAGAAATTTCCTTGTGTCCGTGTTTCAAATAATTCAAACAACACCCAAATAGAATAGCCAAAAAGGGTTCGATGCTCTCGTAAGTGTCCATAGACGCATACTTTGAACTGAAGTATTAGACCTACGTTTGTTTTTTGTACAGAGTGTGAGGGCCGATGTCTTCATAAATCAGAAGCCTCTCAATCATTAAGTAATTGTACAAAGAATAATGAAACCAAAATGTACTATGATGGAACATACTTATGAGATCAAAGAAGGGTCAGCAGTCGGCGTCAAGTCGTAGGATCACTTAGTGCATTATGTATGGGCAGATGTTCAACGTTAAGCGTTTAAGCCGATAAATAACATAACGACGTATTGTATATTTCTTATGAAAGCAACTATTTTGCCAAACGCGACTCTTTTGATCATTCTTGCATGCAGCATCGAGCAGTAAACAGTTTTCTTTGTCATTACGTCTTCGAAGAATTTCATTTGTGTTTGGCTTAAATCTTCTTTTATTTTTTTTGTTCTTCGTATCTTATGCTGTTGACTTAATTCGACGACGCCGTCGTGTTGGCGTTATACGGGTATATTAAAGGCCATAGCCATTCTTTAAAGGAACAGCTCTGTGTGCGTTCTACAGGTCATCTGGATCCTGTAAAGATGCAGAATCTGCATGGGCAAGAGACCGGACTGAATAAGTTCTTGCATCCACGGAAGGCGATGGGGTCGTCGAAATTTGTTGAGAAGGACCAAGAGCCGAAGCACTGGCTAGTGACGTGGAGACCCTTCTTACTGAACTCAAAATCTCTCCCGTACAGGTGAGCACAGAAACGGCAGATGGAACACTTGGCACTGTTAGAGAGGCTGATGAAGATGCTAAAGCTGAAGCGGATGACGTGGCGACGGCAGTCGCACCAAACGATGACGGTGAGGAGTGGATATGGGACGACGTCGCATTGCCACTTGTTGCATTCTGCGAGTCCTGACCGAGCTGCTGGAAGATGGCAATTGTAGCGCCTCCCAGCTGAGCACCTGAGATGTTGCCGTGTAGAAGAAGATTTACTTCGTCCTCAGGCAAGCCGTGCTTCTTGGTCATATGGATTTTTATGTTACCCTTTTGTGTAGTGCGGTAGTCACATACGGAGCACGCAAACGGCTTGTAGCCGGTGTGGATACGTGTGTGGACCTGAAAATAACCGTAGGCACGATGGATAATGAAGTTAATAGAAGGAGCTTGCAACTTAAGGGTCGGAAGGCATACCAGAATACATACAATTACATAGACAAGCCATATAAATGTCGCGGGTAGTAGACCCGCAGTGGACGCACCAGAACCACGGAAAAGTATCGGCAAGGATCACAATTATATAGATCCACAAAAGTCAACTTGTAAATAATTACGCACCCTCCGACAGAAACAAATGTTCTTTTTAACAAATAACTGGTTAGACAGGTATTGTGCTAAAGCCAATCTGACAGACATAAGGCACAAACAATTTCTAGCGCTGTACGAGATCGATTGTTTAGCATTCAAACCTAGTTTTTTAATATGCTATCTATGTTTAATATTATATACATAAAAACTGGATTCCGGCACCATATGCGATCCTATATAGTATGTAGGTAAATGTTTTGCGACTAACACATATCGGTCGAACACAAACCTTCATATGTGAGTTGAAGCGGGCGCGGAAACCACAGACAAGACACTCAAATGGCCTTGATGGGTCATTTACGGTTCGGATTAATGCATCACATGGATCGCCTGAGGACAATGATGATGCATCAGCACCCGAACCTCGTAGCGTCCCTGTGATGCTACAGCCACCGGCAAGCGTTGCTGTCACTGAAAACGACATTGTATCGGCGCCAGCCAAGGACGACTAGTCAGTAACGGCTTTCCAAGTCAGCCACAAACAAAAACAAACAGCACCTTAAGCTCAATATTAGTTAGTTCGGTACGCTCTAGGTAGGTCTCGACAGGCTATGAGACAGTTTGAAAGATGCACGACCTTCTGTTGTATAATAGAGTCATACTGAAATGAGAGACAATCGCGAGAACTCGCTCCTCTTTTATATCTCTTACAATGTAAACCAATTAGTAGTTAGCTCAGTTAATTTACCGTATGCGCATTAACGTTTTCTAATTTTTATTTCGTAGATAGATAAATCAACACACATTGTCAGGCGGTTACTGTTGACGAAAAGTTACCAGTTGATTCTGTAGCCGTCAGTTAGATCGGAAGCTGTGGTCCAGATAGCTTATCCTTCCTACTTGACTCCTGCTTCTGCAAGTAATGATTCAACGAAAAAGATCATGATAAATAGTAAAGCCCTGCTGCGCAATAAATAAATACAAAGAGCCCGTTATATCGTGTAGCCGTTGACAATAGAGATGAGGTGGCTTGACCCGCCGAAGGTTTTATCTGAAAGAAAAAACTGGTAAGGACTAATGGTATGTGACCACTATCTATTAGCTTTAACTGGTGCACGTATGAAATCTGCCTTGGATTTAGTCGGTTTGTTGTAAAAATTCTATTCTGGTATTGTCGTTTTCTGGAGTAGAAAATTCTAGAAAAAGCACCCATATATATATCTCACATATGAAGACATATCAAAAATGGGTAAATGAGTTCAATGAACTGAGTCTTTGCATATCGACGTTATGACTTCAAATATTTAAAATACGAGATAATTATACATCAGTGGTCTGCGATTAATCTGTACTACACATTACTTTCAAGGTGACTATGCGTTTGGAGTGAAGCAACCGAAAATTGCCAGTAGCAATTATGTTGCCATCAATATTCATTCCTTAAATAATGATATAAAATACCCATCTGCCCATCATAATCCCTAAACCTATTAAGCGGTCACTATCCGTAAGTAACACAGAAACATATCTTAAACACTGGCTAATTAGATATTTACAATTGAAAACACAACCCCATTTGACTCATTAAAATACCGAACTAATTTTTTATTACTAATATGAATAATAGTAATAAAACAACTAAACTCTATATACAATCAGCGTTGTTCTTCATCTTGTGCAGTCACGTTCTCCGTGTGTGCTCCTTTTTCCCCTATCATGCTCACTACAACTTTGCCGTTGGTATCAGAGGAAGGCGAAGGGGTCGAAGCAGCCCAAGTCAGTGTCCAAGTTTCCATACGCTTTCCATTGTCCTGTGTCCGTTCTCTTTTTCCTTTCCAGGTGTTCCCATACGTTTGTGCATGTGCGTACTTGTGTGTGAGTGTGTGTGTGTGTGTGTGGGTGGGGGCGGGGGTGGGGGTGTGTGTGTCTGTGTTTGCTTATACTTATATAGAATATATAGTTCTTTTTCGTTTGTCATGCTCACCGCGTCAACGTCCTCATTTCAGTGTATTAATATATCAATACCTCGATTATTTTTCTCTAGTTTTCATTTAGTTCGTGCAGTATATTCAGTCAATTGTCTCTCAAGGACTCAGATTATCGCAGTTAGCTAAAATTAGGAGTCGCATACATATATGAATAATTCGTTCATCCATTTATGTATTCTTTTCTTCTCTCCTCAGGACGACTATTACACCATTGATGAAATCAGTATTAAAATATAACATAATCGATTTATCGCGACCATTCGGGTTAGCGGTGAAGATCGTCATCATTATCACCGTCATCATCGTCAGCAACGTCGCTATTTTTATGAAATCAGCTATATATATTCTAGGTCTCGTGCTAGGAGTCAGCCAGTCGTCCAACTGTGTAGTTACGCCTAACGGCGATACCGAACGTCAAACTCAAAGTTGCGTTAGTTTTGTTTTGCTGCTGCGAATTTTAGAAGTGTCCAGACTGTGCCGAGCTCACAAAAACAACGTCTCGTATTGTACCTTCCCCCTACTGATGCAAGCTTCGAATAAAGGCGGAAGTAAAGTATCTATTAGACGATATTTTGTGAAAGCGTCAACGTAAGCATAGTTTAATCAGTACAACGTAAAATGTGGCCGTTTTACCTTGGTATCTGGCTATTATGTATATAGTTGGAATTAGTAATAGTAGTTTCAGTATCTTGCTATGTTTCGGAACTGTACGTATGAAATCTTCCTGTTATTTTCTTTCACCAAATCCTTCGAAGTACTACTTCTTGCTCTCGATTCATCAATAGATCATCAATTAGTCAGTAGTTGGTGCGCACTTTGGGTTGTTTTTGGTTTTTCGCGGACTTCATAGTCTGTTGTATTTCTTTTCTTCTACAGCAACGGCAACTAAATAGGCAGCTGTGTGCGTGCGTGCGTGCGTGCGTGTCTTACATTCTCAGTCTTATCCGCTATGTACGTAAGTCCTGAAAAGTACAACGCATATATTAGCGGTGGAGTCGTAAATAGATAGTGCTCAAGTAGATTTGTATCTAGAGGCACTCAATTGAAGCTGCACAATAGTTGTGTATGTGGCTTGTATGAGGAGCGGTGAACCAGGCTAAAGTTTACCTGTTGATCAGCTCGGAAACACACGTCTGACATACACAGCAATAAGACGAAGCGACATAGATTTTGACACGCAGAAAAAATTGACCTATCTCTTTTGGGCAGCATAGGAACGAAGACAAAAAAGCGACAAAATAACTATAATCATGTTATTTCTATCAGACACACGTCAAGCGAGTACCGTACAGTTCGGTATACGAGATGCTAAATGGAACCGAACACATCGAGTCGACGCATGCACGCGCAAAGTATGTAGCAAACAGACAGCGAAGATAGCTTGGGGTGCACAGAGTGGGCAAATATGGAGATATTTGAAAACAATGTAAAGTCAAATTTAATCATTGTGCGCATCAACAGACCTCGCTCTCAATAAGATCATAATAGAACCAGCTCCAAGTAGCTTCTATATAACGAATACGCCACTTCTTTACTCACGTATAAGCAGTCCTATTGTTGGCTATAAATAAAAGCTTGTACACGCAGCCCAAACGAGATATTCTAGGCACTCCTGTTCGTAGACACTTCTACCGATGTAAATACATGCGGTGGTCCCATCCTTCATCGACTGTCGAACGTCAGATGCAAACGTCTGCGTTGCGCATGCAGTGTTGAAGGATAATAGATTAATGAATAAAATAACTAAACTTTTCCATCGTGCTTAGACAATTCTATAGTAGACATGCCCGTAGCGATCCGAACGTTACTCGTTGATGCGGACACACACACGAATCGATGCCTTCAGATCGTTCGTTTATTTGTTTGTTTGTGCTACCTACACCAAAAGGAGTCAATTTGATGTTGTTGACCCGGTGCGTCAGGGCCCGCCGAACTATTCAGCATATTGAAGAAGTCCTCATTGAACGGGTCATCTTTTTTGCTGAAGATACCACTGGGAGGTGGGCTAGCCACACTAACAGCGGGTTGAGTCTCATCGTTCTCAGGAAATACCGCAGGAAAGTGAGTGACGAATGGCGTGTGGCCGAATGGGGCACCACCAGCGGATCCGTTTCGGGATTCCAACGCACAGCTTGTTACTTTAGGAGGTAACTGGTTAGGGCCAGAGGGGAAAGTTTGTTGTTGCTGGGTAGGAGGATGCTGCTGGCTAGCCTGAAGCTTCTGGATAACGGTACCACTAGGACAGGAAGAATGCTGATGAACATGAGACAGAACTGTGGGGTACGGCGATACGCTACCCGTATTACTACCGAAGAAACCTTCGTCTCGATCTTTATCGCTGTCAAGCACTTCTGAAGACTGGACGACGAACGTCGTCCCGCCCTGGTTGGACAGCTGATTCAACGCCTGCTGTTGTTGCTGTTTGTTTACACTAGGAGCAGCAGCAGTTACTTGTTCGGCAAAGCTGCCCATACAGAACGGGTTTGCTGCGGTTGAAACACTTAAATGAGGATGGGGCGTAGTCGCGGCCTCACTTCGATGGCTTGTTGCAGCAGCATCAGAGGAAAAAGGCTCAGGGTCGGGAACTGACACAGGCTTCGCTGGGCATTGGGGGGGCGCATGAGCGGGCGAAGGTGGTATGACAGCTACAGGCGAGGCAAAGGTTACCGCAGGGGCTACAGGTGCATCAAAAGCGAAGGGAGGAAAAGCGGCTGGAGGAATAGAAGGATGGGAAGTCGCAGTAGTAGCGGCAGTAGTAGTGGCGGTTGTAGATACTGCGACAGAGCCCTGGCAAGACGATCCAGAACTCGGGGGTCGGGTAGGATTTGATGGCGCAACGGTTGGCGGAGGCGATGAGGAGGTGAGGTCGTTCTCCGAAGAGGAAAGACTCGAGCCCGACGCCATCGTCACAAAGCGATCACTTGAGGGACTCGATGCGGCCGAGATGAACTCGTTTGTGGCCGTTGTGGCTTCACTCGGCGAGCAGACAGAGTTATCGTTGGAAGAAGAAGTTACCCCTTTCTGACCACGCAAGCCAGAGCACACCTGTCCACTGTGGCTAACATGAATCGATACCGGCTGAGGTGCGATTGTGGTTGTCGAAATGGGTGGGGTGTTGAAATCTTCTGATGGTGTGGATTCGGTGCTCAGCGCACAGAATGGGTTACTCCTCATGGCCGCGTTTAGCATCGGCGGTCGCTTTACCGATCCCGTTTCGCTGCCATTACTATTGCTGCTCGCGGTGCTTCCGTGGCTCATCAAAACGGCACCAGCTCCAGTGACGCTGCTGCTACTAGGAGCGTCGCCAGATCTAGATTATAATAATGATAACATCATTACACAACGATCGCACGAACAGATACAAAAGAAAAAGGGAAAATATTTTTATTATCTATTAAAGTTGCTTTTGAGAAAAGTGTCCCCTTGTAACACGGAAAGGTTGAGTTTTATCTGACTGTACAGCCTCATGTGTTATAAAGAAGAACCACTGCATTTGTAAAATCAGTTTTTATCGGTGGGCATTGAAATCAAGAGTATAAAACATATTCGGACTAATTGTAGTAATATTATTTAGCTCACAATTATTTTGCATTTAATTCAGTCACTGTCTACCGGTAGAGGAATCTATGACGGAAACGTCTGTTTTACTGCCCTATGTTAAGCAGTGGGCTGGGTAGTTTTGCGTCAAGGGATCACACAAAACAACTAGAACATATATAAAATACTTGTTTACTTACTGCACGTTTGACTGAGTAGGAAATTGTACGTCGAAATGGGCTTCAAATGCGACAATCGACTCTCCGAAGAAATCGTTTATTGTAGTCTGTGTATTGCGGCTCTTTGACTGAGGCTGAATTGCACGAGGTGAGCTGCCTCCGGAACAGATAGTCTGCGATAGGGGAGCTGAGCTGACAAAATTGCTCTCGAATGTTGATTCGAAACCAGTGTTTGCGGAATTTGTATACCTTGTGTTCGTCGCCGAGCTATTCACAGACTTCGCTGTAATACCTGAGTCTTTAGACAATAGGTCGCCAGTTAGTAAACGCTGACCTGGCGGAATCGTCTCCACCTGGGTTGATGACTGCGACGGTGCAACGACTCCAGCTGGCATAGAGGCCGACGATGTCCCGAACGCGTTAAAGTTTGCAAAAAGGTCCGCAGACTTTAACGCTCCTGCAGCATACACCGATGAAAATAGCGACGATGGCGCGCTGGAGGCTGCCCCTGCCATCGAACTTATGCTCATCTGTCCAATCTGGCAATCACGCGCTGCCGGCTGCTGCTGTTGTGTTCGAGGCGGTGATAACGGGGGTGGTAACGGTGGAGGTGTTGCCGCGGCCGCTTGTTCCTCCTGTTTCAGTTTCTCGAAGACTGCATACTTATCGGCAGGTGGTACACTGCCGACGGCCATCGGCGCGTTCACTGCGGCAACGACAGTAGCAAGATTGCCAACGGCTGATTGATTCCGCTGCTGCTGTTGCTGTTGGTGATGGTTTGACATACGGTTTGCGGATACGGTGGTTGACGAGCCAATCGTTGGCATGAAACGTGGAGAAGCAAACTCGCTGCCACTGTGAACCGTCGACGAGCCGACAGCGCCAGCGGCACGCGTCGGTTCTGACATGCCGCTTCCCTCAGAAGCGACTACAGCCGATCCAACTGCACCGCCAGCGGCAGCTGTTGAACCGCTTACCGCTGGGGGTATTTTGACTAACGGCGCAATGTCAAACTGCGTTGAATGATTCGTTGGAGGCGGGTCGAACAATTCGGTACTTTCCTGCGTACGGCCTCTCGATAAATTTGACGACGACGCCACAGATTCGAAGGAGAATTGCGCCGCTGAAAAGTGTGCTTCACGCTGCACACCCTGATGTGCGTACGGCGCGTGGGATCCCATGCCGCCCAATGGGCCACGATGAACACTAGTTGATCCCACTGAGGCTCCTCCATCAAAATGAAAATCATCAAAGACACTATCAACGGATGCCGCGGGCGCCACTTGCCCGATGAGACCTGAATTTGGACGAGCGTTCTCAAAAACAGCGTTGAACCGACCGTTTCCTTCCACAGATGTCCCTGACACAGGAACAGCCGTAGCCGATAGCACCCCGCGATTCGAGGTCAACTCCTGGAACCGCCACAAATAAAAACAGCAATATTATCACAACTGCACTACAACAGTACCGTTATTTCTGCGCACGGTAACAGTCTCTAATAAGAGTCTAATTAGCGGCCTTTTATGGATAGGAAGAAATGTTGGGGACTTCGGTTTGTTCCGATTGCTTACGCTTTCAAATAACAGGTAGGATTTAGCCGTATTTGCAACAAATAAGGTATATTATTCGTCCATGTTATGATGCAGTGGTTAGCTGTTTGCCTGCTAAACCCAAAGAGCCAGTGATCTAGGTTTGAAACCAATCGTAGACACGCTAAATTTCATCCTGGCAGGTTGTGGCGGCCTTTTGTTTTATATCTCTGCCTCATCGTTAATTGTGTCGTTTGATTTTGAAGTTACTTACAGTAGCATGCTCTCGGCTACTGGAGTATGGTCTGCCTGAAAGCAACTCTGATACGGACGCGCCGTGTACACTTGTCCTGGCCAGCGATTCAACAAGACCGGTCGCTAAGACGCTGTTAAGGTTGTTGCTGGCGTTATGAGTATTATATACAGTCATAGTAGCCCCGGCTGATGAAGATGATGAAGAAGAGGTAGTGGTGCTACGTAACGGCTGTGCCCCTCGTTGATGACCGCCAACTGGCGGAGGAGGTGGTAAAGTGGCGGACATGCCGCTTCCACCGCCAGCAAGAAGGCTCGAGCCCTCGAAGCTAAACTGCGTCTGGTTCAAGGAAGCAGGCGGTGCTATGGACGAGCCACGCGACGTCGTTTGAGAGAACAATCCGGTAACACCAGCACTTCTGCTATCAGATTGGAGAAAGAAAAAGCATATGTTTGGTATCTACGATGTTTTCTTGTACGATTCAGTAAATCATGTATTCGAAGTAGAAATACTCTTATTCTATTCAGCTAAAATACCGAATTTGAGAATGCAAAAGGTGAAATATTAACTAACACTTAATCGGAATGACTAAGTGTTGTGTCATAGAGAACAAACCTCTGCTGTTGTTGCCGTTGCTCCTGCTGCTGCCCGAAAGAAGCCGCTGGGGGACCGCCATCGGCCAATGACCGTGCTGTTGCGGATGCCGACGGGCCAAAGTTGTCATCAAACGAATCGCCGAAGCCGAAATAAGATGACGTTGTAGACTGGGCAGTGAAGTCAGGGGCTGTCGAGTTCGATTCTGCCCAACTAGCAGATGGCATCCCCCCTATATATAACATTACAACGACAACAAGGAGCAAAATTTATCAATAATATTTATTACATATATATGTTGTCCGATCGTATTTGTTCTTGTGCGAGCAAATTACCTTTACGTAAATGTCAAAAGGGTTCATTCAAGTTCTTTTTCTCACCTTCGAACTCACCTGGCGTAAAACCTTTTGGCAACGTCATAGAAGCAGTAGTTTGTGGTCCCTTGGCAAAATTGGAACTCGCATCCAATGAGGATGCTCCTACTCCCCTTGCCAAGGCCGCGGATGTAGCCCCTATAGTCGCCGAAGATGATGAGGACGTGAAAAGGTCCGCTGAGGTAGATCCTCCGCCCTGGCGAGTTTGTGTCCTTTTCGGTGTCGAGGGCAACGAACTCGTCGGGGGAGGGGGCAGCAGAAGTGCGCTCTGGCCACTAATCGAAAAACAGCCCACAGACATTGAGGGATGACTCGTCAGGTTAGCACCGGTCGTTTGAGCTGGCGAAAAATTACTTGCAGTAGAACTCCCGCTAGTGTGTGGTCCGGCAGACGATACTGGTGGCAGACAGACTTTGTTCGGTTGGAAATACGCTGAAGATCCACTACTTATAGTACCAGCGTTTGATTCCAGCTGAAATTGACACAGGCCACATTTGCACATACCTTACATTTGCGTACAACATACATGCACGTTCGCGTAGGTTCGTATTAACCCATAATGCATGAATTTTAAGTCTCCAAGATGCGTTCCGTAGGTGCAAAAAAAGTAGACGAAAAGCATATGTATAAAAAAAATTTACTGCAGTAAGTTCGACGCGGATGCTATTACATCTGAAGGCAAACGTAGCCAGCAAAAATGCCAAATTTTATTCAAAAGGTTTTCGAGAGGAGAATTTCTTAGGTAATGGGTTGATTTAGTCGCTCACCATAGAACTTGTACTCGCCTGCTGTTGTCCGGCTACTTCATGAGTCGACCCAAACGGATCTGCCCCAAATGCTGCTTCAGCCGTGCTGATTTCCCCCTCTATCTGCTCGATCCCCTATTCGGTCAGAAAATGCATGGTGACAACAACAACGAGACGTACATAGAGACACATACACACGCACATACGCACAATAATCAGTCAAGGTAATCACACACAGAGCCTGAAAACTTTTCAAAAAATTGGCTTGACTTTATTCGGGCCAAATCCGTAACATGTTTTTACTTTCTTCTAGGCACTTCCATATAGGCTAATCTTTACAGCAACTTCCTCTAAAAACCTATGCTTACGGTACAGAGCAGGCTTTACTCAATCCATTCGCTTCATAATTTACCACAGCCTTCCAAAAAGAAATGCGCCATTATGTCTAAGGTTGTGCTCTGTAAGCAAGTACTCTTCGAGTTGAATAGCTGAGATGATTATTTAGAGTTATTCGGAAAGAAAATACGGTTATTTGCTACACCTATTTCGTAGGAATGATCTAGTGCCGGAACGAAGAGTCATACTCAGATATACTTTTCTGAAACAGAAGGTTTTCTGCCTCTATTTTAATAGATGCCGTTGAAAACATCATTATCGGCAGTATCCCAAGCCAACAAGTAATATCGTACTAGGTAATATTTAATAATATTTTTATAGTTAATAAATATTTATAACGCATGTTTTTGACGTCAAGTCATAAAGTACAAGACAAAAAAAGTGCAAAATGTTAATACTCTTGAAAAAGGATCGGACTAATAAAACAATAGTATGAAATCTCACTTGTCTATTTTTATTAATAAGGTAAAACTTTTATGTCATTTTTAAGTAGATCTGAAGTAAAATGGACGCTCCATCAACAACTGCGACTTGTTTGTGCATAAAAAGTTTATCTACCCATGCTCTTTTGCCATAGAATCTTACCATCTACCTGTGTAATAAGCGTTGCGTGCACGATCAATCACTGTACGATCTCTCATCAGCTTGTAGTTTTGCAAAATAAGAAAAAGGAAGTTAATGTATTTGTGCCGAAATAACATACACGTTAATGGTAAGTCGGAACTGAAGAAGGTTGTTTAAGCACTGAGCCCAGCTAGGTCAAATAGGCGTATATTAAAAGTATACCCATATAGAACTTCGAAACGCCGCGCGGCCCAGGACACCACGGCGCCCCCTAGAAGCCGTCAAAAAAGAAAATTCTGGCAGGCGACTATTTCATACAGAGAAACAAAGGGCTCGATCGACAATGCACATAATTACCATGGCGCAAAGTGGAACAAGCGGATCAATCTAGCGTAGTAGCAAACAAAGCCATGCATCTGATAAAGTGTTAATAAATCGTTCAAGGAAGCGAATAATTGATTCGCGAAGGCGTACGCTTGGATTTATTAAAACAAATATGTGTCAATAAACTTCAATATATGCGCACATTTCTACGGAACTTATCTTCTCCGATACATAGCATTTATCAAGCATTAAATGTGCATATGATACGTGTATGGCATAAATACGTTATCCATGTAACACAAACGCTGCCCATCTCCATATAAAAGTTACAAAGAGAGCAAAGGGCAGAACGGCCCAAGAGTGCAAGCCAGCAGGCCATTGTAATAATCTAGAATCTGGCAAATGAGCCGACTGAGTAGCGGTAACTAAGAGAAGGGGACAGGCAGAAGAACATCCGGATCGGCAGACCGGTAACCAATTAAACACACAGACAATGAACAAAACAAACCTGTTGCAAGCAGTCGAGCTCAGTCTGAAGATCGAGGAGGTCGTCGACGACAGCAACGTCCGGTCGTGAGCTTTCGGTTGATGACTGCCCCTTACCAGCAATAGCGGTAACCATCGAATCGACGTTAACATTGTTGGACACCGGTCTAGCTGGGTCCAACAAACTTCCATCGATACGGCCATCCTCATGCCCATTCTCCTAGATGTGGGGGGATTGGGGGGAGCAATTATAGCTACCACGAAACATATCCATGCCACCGATGACTACGATGGACAGAGTATCAACAGCCGCTAAAGAAAGAACCCAAACTACATAGCGATCAATTCACTGTTGACTCGTTACATACAAATTACTAAACACCACCTGTGTAAGTACTGATAATGCAAAAATAGAAAGCTTTTTTCCACACGATGCAAATATCACTTGCAACACTAAGTTCATTCGTCCATACCTGACGTTATAGAGTATTTTGCTTTTTCAAGGTAGCAAACTGACACTTTCAAATACAAACGTATACTCGATCGCTCTGATTGAATATAGTATAAGTGGTTTAAATTAAGCCCAAAGTCAAATTTGGTGTTAATAAGGTGTTTGATATGGAATCTGTTGGAAATGTTTAAACTTACAAAACAGTTATCTGTTTTCTTCGGGTATGTAACTATCTGTAATGTATAATTGATTCCGCTTTAACAAGTACATCTGAAAATTTCTTGGCTGGCAATATACAATCGGTCACAACATGCACTGGCAATGACAGTTACAGGTTGTAATGGTCGGACAAGGAAGGGCTACCGCCTTGGATTACGTAAGCTGAGGTACATATAGCTAACTGGGCTACTTCTATTCGAGAAAAGCATTTGCTAGCTATCGCAAAAAGCAAAAAAATCTTTAATCCGCTCAGTCTACAAGGAACAAAACGATTGCACTACCACAGGCAGTACTGACAAATAGAGTAGTTCGATTATGCGGAAAAGTACTCAAACAATGCATTACCAGGCAGCGCATAAGTGGACTAGAAAATTTGTCACTGGCTACTCGAAGCCTATGTCGGCGAACAATAATATTACCATAGTTTCAACACGGTGCGTCATGTCTATAGAAAAAGTCTTGTTTGACAAATTTACGTAGGGTCCATAGGGTAAAAAAATTGATCTAACTAACGTGTGACACTAGAACGGACAAAACTATTAGGCATGCGACGTAAGTTTCTCATCTTTGTTCTGCCATTTTTGCCTGTTTACCTGCCTTATCCATAACACGTTCTTGTTTTAATCAGTAACAATTACCACTTGGCCCAACTCGGAACGACTATATATATTACAATTATAATAATAAACGGCTCAATAAAGAACCTGCTTCCACAGCTGGTAATCCCACGAACATTTACGAAATGATAGTTCCCGTACTCAAGTCAAAATGACCAAATTTAGTAGAGTATCGCTGGACTCTCTACGCTTTTTTCGATGTAACTTCAGGTTGCAGTGCCGAACAGAAACGTTTAGCCTAGAATTTCGTATTTTTATAGTTATCAGCCAGTCTGAACGGGTGGGCAAGCGATGCGTTCCTTAGCCTATAGTCAACAACGGTGTAGTACATACAATCGCTTGCCACGCCTAAGAATGAACATTCTCAAATTCGAGTAAATTTCTAACAGCTGAGCACTTTCAATGAATTTTTTTTTTTAAATAAAACTATGCTTTAACGAAATCGGGAGAACTATACCATTATAACAGAAACGATTGCTGCGCAGAATGTGGCTAGAGAAATAAGAAACACACAGTGGTCCGATCGAGTACGAACACTGTTCAAAAGAATAGGATAATGAACTCAGGAAAATCAATAAACGCTCTCAGAACACATACAGTTTCAAGTCAGCAAAGGCAGTTAGCTACCTATCAGCGGTGCCTTCAGATATTGGACCGCTTCTTTGTTGCTATATGCCACCTGTGTTTCAACAACACTGATTAGCTTGTCACAGAAATGAACGTAACTTGTGGATTGTTAAGCCTACGCTGTGCTATTTATTTTCACTGCTCACACTTACATGGTTTGCAGAGGAGGAGGAGGACGAATGCCTGTTGCTACTGTTATTAGAGATAGCGTTATTGTTATTAGATCCGGAGGTGTTGTTACTTTGGTGAGACGTTGATCCACTACGTCGCTTCATCTCGTGCTGCTTCATTTCAAGGACCACTTGAAAAAGGTCGCGAAGAGCTGCAATAATAAATTAGGCAACAATAAAATCAGTTCGAAGAAATAAAATGTAATTGACTATTTAACATCTTATTATTGAAGTACCTTTCAAATGCTCGCAAATGGCTGCGATTTTATTTTTACTTAGGACGTTTTAGACTTGCCAGTCGACCTGCGTCCTCGCGCCGTTTGAAGCCACTAACGTCCTAAACAGACTTTGTTTCATTTCTGACCGTTCCAGAAGCAAGTTTACGCTTTCAAGGCCTTTTTTTTTCCATTTTAGTATCTAACGTATGGCATATACTTGTCGAATTATCTGTAAGAGCCATCCTTGAAGGTTTAATAAAATTTCTAAATGCTAGAGAGCACCTTATTTAAATGTAGGTAATTTATTTACTAGACTGGTTGGAAAGACAATTCTTTTCCTTTAATTATGGTGTACATAGACAACAACTATAGTAACCTATAGATTACGTACCGATCACGATCTGAGAGGCCGTTTTCTCGGTTTTGATGGCGATGAACGAATGCCCGCCCAGGGGTGTGCCTGACACGTACCCGAAAGCTCGCGGGTCCGTTTGATCCTGCGAAATAAACGAAATTCGGTGCACGGGATGATGGCACATCAGCTCGTGAGTCTTTTCGTCGAACACCTATGGAAAAATCGAAGACAATAGACGATTATTTTAACTTGTGCAAAATTTAGTCATTAAGTATTCTTACGTATATCGCACGTGTGCATACATAAGCGTAATATCAGATAAAACAGTACTAAGGCTAACGGCTGACTATCACCTTAACCTACTTTGATGCCTTCAAGTGAGACAGTTAACGAGACGCGCTGTTTGTGCTCGCCTGACGCCTTCACCACGGATTTGAGACGCGCCATTGCATCGGCGCACATTCGGTCACCTCGTGCCTGAAATTGTCAGATGACCTTTAGGCAGATCCTTCTTCGATCAGCACACGTATATTTAGGAAACATATCTTTAGAAAAACATAATCAATGTAGATCCTACATCTACATAAAACTTGTGACCAACCCTTCTGAAACTCGAACCCACTTTTTGCCTCGGTAGTTATTCTCCTTGTGTTGCCTAACTATTATTTTTTTTTCGATTTTTATTATTGGTTCGTACGCACGATACAAGAGTTTTTCGGGCACGAAAGGGTCAGCTGTTTAAAATGCCGTCAAATGGCGTTTGTTACGATGATTGAATGAACATTAAGTAGTTAGACTTTCGTCTTTTTCGACGGTTTCATAACGAAAGTATAAAGAACGAAATAGAATATATTTACTATCTTAAGCCGGCAGTTTAAATATGTCTTCATTGAATTAGCTTACATTGTATTCACTAATGTTTTTAATCAGTGCACGCAAATATAGAATTTCGAAAAGTACTAAGACGTTATTTCGAAACTAAGCGGGAATGCCTTAAGGGACAATTCAGTATGATTGCTTTGTAATTATTTAAAAAGTCCTGCAATTGTTACTGCATTAGTTTTCAATTACTTTGGAATAAGGTAGCACTAAATATTGAATGATGGATGCTTTGCACATACTCTACTTGAAGACATCTGTGTTCTCTATTGTTCCGTGGTTCGAGAACTGGTGAGTTCACTTTCTGAGGGATGAGCGACAGACGATATGGAGCATCCAACTCTGCGCGAGACAGAGTAGTATGCAACAACCGATTCCTTATATTGCACCATATAGGCTGCTTTATATCTTAGGTATGTAGTATGTGTATAACTTGCTTATCCAGAAAAAAAACATTATTCCGTATTTGGGTGATAACTAGCAGGCTCGCCTGCTCCAGATGGATATGATCTTTGTAGCTGTCAATATCTGATGGCTTCTTTCTACTACCAATCTAATGACTTATTCACAATGCTATGTTGAAACAAGGGAATATATACGGACGGAGTATCCCGAAGTGACACGATATCCACTCGAAGAATTCTATGTAAACAGATAAGCCTATCCACTGCTAGAACGGGCGTCCCCGAAATATTCCTCAGCGTGATAATGAGCTCTACGAAGTTGTAATTAAAGATCTAGCTATAAACAACACGTTATTGTAAAACAACTGACTAATTACGTGTGCAAAATGTTTTCTACAGCGTTAACTATAGCGTACTTTCCTTTGAGATATTAGCTACAGCTGGTGTATCACTAAGGCCACTATAAAACGTTTCCTACAATATTATTTTCGTATTGACTTAGTGTGCACGAGCAAAATGTAAGGAATAAACAAAGTTTTTACGCTAGCTCGACGCCGCTGGCGCCCTATAAAAGTTCAAGTGGAGTGAGAGAAGTAAAGGCCGTAAAACAAGCGCCCCTCTAGAAAGAGTTGCGATTGCATTACTATCGTTTACTATTTAGCTATCACAGGATACATCCTATGCTTTTCTTTATCATTCGTTTAATAACATATTATCCAGGGGGAATAACAATATACGGATAACATAGGATAGAGTTAGCGCAACCTTAATAAGACAAACAAACACAGTGATGTACTTACACTACTGACGGCCTCACTGCCAATTAGCTTTCCTTTAAATGAAATTCCGTCTCCCTCGAACCGGAATGGGTCGTTCTTTACTCCTAAGAGAACGCATAATTAATTCATTGTTAACAAAAGCAAGTATCTGAAAGCGGTATCCTGCAGGTGCTAACAAAATGGAAGGTGAGCGAACCCATAAAGTCTGAAGACGACAGATCGTTCTAATCTATCGTTTTCCGAGACAAGATAGCTTTCTCAAGTTGACTATGTATGACTAGCTCCCTTGCCAGGTCGATCGCGTTCTGTGGAAAACATCTGGTCACAGCTTAATGAACGAAATGTTTGTAGGATGAAACTAGTTAAACGGGAACTGCGTTGAAATGTTGTGAGCTAATGGGTTTTTAAAGCCCGCGCTACAAGCTGACAAAGACCGAGACCGCTAGCAGGAATAGCTGATATAAGGTATTACGCGAGACATCAATTTGACCAGAGTAAACAAGATAGTTGTTTTACTTTGTGCGAGCCATAGCATGTGTTAAGAAATTATAGCACCATTAAAATATTTGTCGAAGCGTCTTCAAGAACTGTTCCAATTTCCCCATACAGATAAACTGAAAATGTTATGTTCAGCCTTTTCCGACTCTGAAATCGAAGGCAAGCTTTTACAGCTTCTGCGATTAGGGGCATACGGTATTTCTGATCTACTGCAAAGTTAATGCAATACTGCGTCAAAAAAAACATACTCTAGTCTAGTATATAATGGTTGATACTTAAAGAGAGACATACACTTCTTTGAATGAAAATCGCATCCTAGTGCTAAATGGATGGCTTCTTCCGGTGATAATACATTTCACAGAAAACTTCTAGCGTAGCACACATCTAAGGCTTCCTCTGTGACTTCAATTAGAATATTTTTCGCCCAGTTTGTTTGTTTGTTCATAGAAGCAAGCAGAAATTATTCCCCCTCCCATTACCCTCTATTATGCCAGCGGTAGATTGGATCTACGGTAAATATCACGGAAACTAGCTTTGTAGAAAGCATTCAACCCAGTAGAAACAAAGGGTTTGCCTCACAAATCTACTAGTCGACCCAAACTAACTGTGTGTGAAGTCTTTTGCATACTGACTATTTATTCTATCTCGATGTACATCTGCAAAAACTCCGTTTCAAGGGAATTTCTCTAAAGTAATCTATAGGGGATAAGGGCGAAAGCTAAGACGGTAGCTTTGGTCTTAAATATTAGTAAATGCAGAGCTTTTCTGATTTTAATCCCGTACCCCTTCTATAATGTGTACCTTACAGTGGCAGAAATGTTCTTTGCTTGTGTTTTCAGTTACTTTATTACGTTGCGTATATATATATATATAAACACGTGCTTATCACTTTGCCCTGGCATTGAAATAACAACACTCAGACAGCTAAGAACCAATGTGGCTGTGGCATGGGGCTATTTGGCGGTCAGGCAGTGGAAGCTGACCAGTATCAGACAGACGTTCCAAATGGACAGACAGGCAAAGGTTTAAATAGAATATGTTGTCGCCGGAAAAGTGGCAGTTTAAGCAGTACAGCCCGCAACAAACAGTCTACGCATTTCGTTCTACGTGATTCTCGATACAATTAATAACAGCGGCAGCAGTAACTGACTGCAGGAACAGTCTCACGACGAATGGCTATAAAATGACAAATTGAGCTTGCTAGTGAGTACAATGATTTTAACTGCCGAGTCCAGCCAAAGCGGACGGCAATGATACAGAAATAGAGAGAATAAGAGAAAATGTTAAATAAACAAAGGGACGTACTTCTCACCAAAGAATTTATTAACGGCTATATACAGTCACGGCTATGGCTAGAAGTTATTTCTTTATGACAGAAGTCATTTAGTGTGTAGCAGCAATAATTATTGTTGGGTTTGTAACAACAATAACAGATTGTTGGGTTAAATCATAGAGTCAAATGTGCGTTGGTAAAAGACGCTGACCCGATCTGTTTTAGTGCTGCGGAGTCAAACCAGAGACACTCGCGAGTACTTCAGTATAAACCTGCTTTACGTTGGAAACAATATGGCTTTAGGTAGAGCCAATAACAAAGCTGGCGTAGCTATCAGAAAGCATCGATGAGAAATTTACTGAACACTGTGCTAGCCAAAAATCATCAACGCCCAACTTGTCCTTAGCAAACCCAAATTATCCAGCCTTCAAAAATAGAGCTGATTGTCGGCACCTTTCCGCTCATGTGCGATCGATATGGTCTTCGAATACTATTTAAGCTTCAATGCTCGCTGTATTAAAACGTGTTAACTATCTGAGAGAAGAACCGAATGTCCGGTAATGAGCAGATTAAAGTGTTTATATGTAATACGTCGGTGTATTATAGGGAACGGTACTTACCTTTGTCTTTTTTTGTTTTGGTAGACATCGTGCTGCTGGCTGGTCACGAACAAGCTTCTGATAAAACAAATAACTGATTGCGTCGTCAATACGTTTACGTTAACTCAAACAATTATGTTCGGATAATTCTGGCGTCCAACGTCTTCAATTTATCCTCGAGAAAGTTTCGTCACGGTTCCAGTCGTGTCTGGGTGTCTTAATCTACTCGGTTGACATTGTTCTGTACGAAGCGTCGAGCCAGAGGTTTCATCCTTTAGCAATGCACAAAAATAATTATGCAATATACACCGTTATTGTGCCCTGTGTCAGAATTATTCAGAATGATACTGTCGCAACTTGAAAAACTTTCTTATTTCGTACTGGCTTATACACGCCCTTGTCACTCGAAGTAGCAGGTGGCAGTTCTCATTTAAATACTGGAAAACCTTATATCGTGCGTATGTTCGCCTCAAAAACGGCTCAAACTAGTGTGTAACAACGTGTAACCTTGTTTGACGAAAAAACATTACGGTGCAAAGTCGGACAGAATAGAAAAACTTTCTTATAGTTCTTATTGTAAATTGGTGCACTGTGTTACTGGTCGGATGGCGCTGGTCGATTGGTTTAATAAAAAAAAATTATCTCCATTCAACGGAACTACTATTGAAACAAGATTACTTATTTATTTACTTGGCTAACAGCCGCATATCGCCTTACACAGAGGCTTAAGCGACAGGTTAGCGCATGTGAGCAAAGTTTGTTGCTACGTCCAGGGATCTATTCATTTGGTCAACGAACTAACAGAATATGACAGGAAATCGAAGCTAGAAAAAAAAGGAAAATTAGAAAAGTGAAATTTAATGAGGATTCGGATAAAATCATTTTTGGTCTGTTATACTATATATAGATATACTATTCAGAGCTGTCACTTGCTGAGACTGAGAGCTGGCTATCCTGCTAGGGCGAAATTCAAGAGGCCTGTTATCTTAGCAACGAAATTTATAGGAACCTCTAACAGATTATTGACTATATAAAAGGTGAATTATAAAAATATCAGGACGCGTTTGCTTAACCAAAGAAAAAGCTTCGTTACCTTTTCGGTACGGTTCTAATGTTTCTTAAGACCTGTGCTGAATCTTATGATGTTCACATAACAACGGTAATATCACATCTGTCTGGCTCGTGGCTTGCAACGAAGGCGTTAACCTTGTGGTACACCTGCAATCACATGTCGACATGCAGAATTGAGATGATATTGCTGAGCGTAACTAGCTTGCCACATTCGAATCTGACGACAACCGATAGTAACAGGTATTGTGTAACAATACGACTTGTAGCAAAGTTGCATACTGCTTGTTTGTCAGTCAGAAAATACGTAAAGCACGATAGGTTTCACTTCTCGCGACGCCAATATTGTTACCGAACAAACAGAATAACAACATAGGCGGGAAGCCGGAAAAGTCCTCCTTGTGAACGTGTCCTTTCACACCTACTGGCACGCTCGAATTGATGCCGTGAAGAGTTTTCTCATGATAAATAAATATATTATTGATCTCTCTCCTGTAAAACGTGAAAAAGTAACGTTACTCTGTATCTACTGTTAGTCCGCTGGTCCGTTTTCTAATTGCTGCTTTTCCACTCCGCACAGACGTATCTCCTTTCGTTATTAATAGGCGCTACAGAGCAGATTTAACGATGCTGTACAAAAGCTCGGATTAGTGCCTCTCCTTATTTATGTTCCATTGCCACTGATATTACAACTACGATTGAGCCTTTCGAGAACACAGACGAAACTCCCACTCCTCATAGTTACGTAACCAATCAATATCCTTCCCTTATGTTCTCCATCGAAACAGTGACGTGGAAAAATGTCGAGCTTATGAACACGTCAATGGTCGACCAGATGAAATTTATTTACCAATAAACAAATACATATACTCTGTTCATATTTCGGAATGAGAAATTGTCAACGTATTCAACCTGAGGATACAAATTATAGGTAGTTGTTTTACGTATCCATTTCACGTCATCAGAAAGAAACAAAGGATACGCCGCTCTCCTGAGGCCTAGTGGCAAGAGCATATAGAAGCTCCACTCAGGACAGTATAGAAGATTCCAGGATAACGTACTTGTAATTCATAATATTTAAAAGAGGGACCATCCCTTTCAAATTGTCTACTACTATATGGGTATATAATTGCATCAACTTTGGGTAGATACATTTATGGCTCCATTAAAGATGTAATAAAGGGGCAAAGCAGATGCGGTGAGAGCCGCCACTATATATATATATATAAAGAAACTGTCCTCTATGAACTATGTTTTCATAGTTGCCCAGTTCGACACTGAAATTTTAATGAACAGGCTTTACCACAGAGTGCAGCTATAAAGGTAAGGTCTACAAACAATTCTAGTTCCTGCTGAGACGGATTGAGAGAGTGATTGCATGATGATGATGACGCAGGCCGTAGAACTCTTTATGAAACAACTCGAAAGCTTGTTTTTTAAAATTTTTTAAAAAACTACAGTAGTTCGGGGATACTCACTTATACACAACGTTGCTGAAGTTTCGCATTGTTCCGATTCACATAGCTTGCGACCTTCTACTATATATTAAGAAAAATATATACATATATATATATATATATGTGTATATTTTTCATTCAATTCCTGGCTGTAATTCCGGATTACCATAGTTTTTGTGCACCGCATTACACAAATTTGTGAAGTAAACAGTTTAAATATTAACTAAACATTAGGTCTAGTTGATTTGATCTGATTCAGTTTAGAACGACAGTGACAACAGCATCGAAAGCTTAAAGCCACGTCACGCCAAACAACTTTCAAGTTAATGAAAACTGTTATATTAGATTACTTACGATTAGACAGAATGGCATTTACTAGTTGGAACAAACTTATCAGTTCAGGCAAACCGTAACGTAATAATAGGCTTTTATAAATTAATGTTATATTGTGTATGTTAAGCAAGACTATTTTATTTCGTAGTGCACTCAAACTTTTAACATATTCATTATGCATCATGCCTGTTTATAATGAATTTTTTATACAATGCTTAGGATTTGCAGTTTTCATTTTTCTCCATTCAGAAAGAGTTTACATTTTCATAGGGTTTATATGCCCCGTCTTTAACAAGTGGAATTTTTGTCCCAAAAGTGCTATCGACAAATTTCTCTGATGGGGTCTACGGCATTTGTATAAGAATAAGAACATTTGTGCGTCCGTTAAAGAATACTGTAGTTTTCTTGTGTGAAGTGTTTTTGCAATTTTATACAAAATAATACAAAGTACTTGAATCGTTGATGCTTCCGGTAATTAGTTCATGTTATACAGAGATTTGTAGACAGAGCTGCGTATTGTCTAGTTAGCGCTGGCTTTTCGAGTTGCAGTGAACCTTCAAAATTTAGTTGGTACACATCTAATTTACCCTGAATAAATCGAGATGTATGTACATCTCGGGCATATAAGAGAGCTTATCAAATTGGGTTATCAGTAGATAAACCAGCAGCGAACCTTTGTGACGGATAATACTCGTGACACCATTTACTTAAATTTCTACCGCACTGTAAAAGCGACGCTAGAGGACAAAACGTTCTCCGAATTTTTTTTTAGAATATCTATTCAAAAAAGAGAGAGAGCGGAAAGATGATACGGGTTTCTTTACAAAAACTGCCCTGTAAAAGGAAAAATATTGGATGGAAACATACTGACCGTTTCTCTAGCTAGGTAACCTTAAAGCCAAATACTTCAGCCGCGTCGTATTGGCGCCAGTGCCGTTTGAATAACAGTGGTAGGTAGATGTATTAAAATTGTTAGAATGCCTTTACTCAGATTTAAGGTAGAGCGCTTAGAGAAGGAAGATTCATGATATTTTACAGGAATTTTATTAAACTAAACACACAAATCTGTCCAAGCTCATAAAAAAAACTGTTTTTTTACATATGTTGTCAGTTTTTTTCTGGAAATTTCTATATGGAAGATGCTCCTCGCAATGGTCTATCAATTTCGAAAAAAATGACCGCGAAAATTTAACTAAAAACACGTCAATGGCCATAACGTCGCCAAGGAATTTGACACCCAATACGGAACAGTTCTAAATCATTTGGAGATGGCTAGCTGGCTGGCTGGCTACTACAAAAAAAAGCTCGATGTTTGACTGCTACTCGAAATGATTCAAAAGAATTTGCTCCATTGATATTCCATTTACGAAACCTTACAGAAACGCAGCGACGTCGAACCATTATCCAGAACGGCTGATCACACATGATAAACATGATCGCATATAACAATTATGTGCAAATAAAAGGTAAAATAGGTGTCCCACCCACAATAGGTGGCAAAACCCACCTGGCGTCAAAGAAGGTTATGCAATGTACTTGGTAAAAAGCATAAATCATGTTTTATGAGTTGTTGCTACCTGCTTGATGCGTGCGTACGTGTGCAGTAAACAACTAACGAGATTAAGCCATTGAAAAAAAAATCAGGCTAATTAGTGAACTAATCTGTAACCAACCTCTGAGCAATTGCGAGAAGTTGGATGGAAATACACTGTATTTATCCTATAGCCTGAACCTTGCATGATCCAGTTCTGTCCATTTTGGCCTTTGCAGGACTCCATTAGATGGTGTTAATTTGGCAGTGTTCATTCAATGGAGAAATGCTAAAAGCACTTGCTACAACTTTTCACTTTGAGGCCACAGAAGTCCTAGAGTGGTGAGATCTCTGTGTCATCAGAAAAATGGCAGAAGGTATTCGATCAAAACGGTTTAAAAAAAACTGCTTTAATTTCGCTTAAAACGGTTAGTCGTTTTTCAACAACCCAGCAATTAGTTGCTCATTTTAGGCGGGGTCATAGACAGGTGTCTTCCGGTTTTCAAAATCACCTTGGTATATACCTTGACTCATATTCACGGGCCAACTTGTAGTTAGCCCGCCCTAAGAAATTGTGCAGCGAAAATAACGCGTAAAGAAGTATAAATTTTTTAAATGTAAATTTGTTCCGCTATTTAATTGCTGCCCTTTGAACAGCGACCGCATTTTTGGTACTAAACCGCATTCGAAACTCAGATCCGCCTTATACTCGATGATCAATGCAAGCTTTTTGAACGATATTCGTCTATTGCAATCCAATATATACGTTAGTACTTAAAAATATCCATATTGCACAGTGTCATGAGATCATTAGTCACAATTTAATTATTTATTTTTAGCTTATCAATTAAATATTTAGATAAATATTTCGAAAAGGTGGATCACACCTACTGTTGCTATTAATCCAATATTATCAACCAGTGAGAAAATTGACCTAAAAGAAGAGTGACGCATACGAAAATTATGCCCTCTATAAATTTTTCTATTCAAACAATTTTATCCTCATAGTCTCAGTCTGATGAACATAGCAGAAGTCACTAAAATCTAAGCCAGGTTGTTTGCCTGGCTAATTATAAATAGTGGGTAGCTATAAACGACATTATCGTTTGCGAATATACATGCGTAAGCAGGTAAAAGTAATTACAACACTCACTGTATCTTCTACTTACAGCAGGAAAGAAAATCAACTTCGCTTGAATTTCTGAGGGATACACATAACGGCGTCGTGTGTTGACGCACGCAGTCAACACGGTACAGGTTTGTCAATAAAATAGCAGTGATGCACTAATCCTGCCTAGTAAAAATCCTTTCGTTGACTATTCACGCATGAGAACTTCCTCCCTTAAAAGCCGTTCTAAAATACCACCGTGACAATTTACGTTCAAGTCCCAATATTCTAGGAAAATCTGCGAGATATTTGCTACTATTTCTCATAGCTTTCGCATTTTGTGTAAATACGGCTACGGTTTGTACTATGGTAATTAAGTTAATGACAGTTCCTACAGAATGTTGAATGCCCGGTGCAGCTTTCACCACTTCTGATTCGAGTCCAAAACACCTTATTTTGTAACTGTATTGTACCACTAAGGCGAAATCCTAGAAAAACAATATCACCATTGTTGACCGAGGCCCAAAGAACTTATTACGATATACATGTATTTATTAAAAAAAAATGTATTTTTTAAATTTTACTGTTTGTTGTAATATATTTCGAGTGCTAGCCAATTTTACATGCCTGCTCTATCCGTTATGTCCTTTGATAATGAGTTACGAGTGCCTAATAACATCTAGGAAGCACGTATCTTTTTCGTATTGCTGCCTGCCGCCGCCCGTTTCCGTTGTTATCAATATTGCAGAATTAGATGCAGCTGTGTATCGACAATCGCTGCATTTACGCACTTCTACAAGATCTGTTTTCAACGAGATCGAAATTACCAATACTCTGCGAGTTACGATTAAGAAATTAGATTTACAGTACGATGATAACCCGTTCATACATCGACGGCCCTGCAGCTGACTTAGCTGGCGGTTGTAGTGGCACAAATTTGGACGAATGATGGCCAGGGGACTGTGACGCGACAACAACGTCATCATATCAAAATGCCACCGCAGTTGGCGTTAACATTCCCGGTACTGGTCGATGTTGATGTGTGCTGAGATAGGCCTGCTGTGCTGTTCTGCGATGGGCGCGTAAATGCTGATCTTTTGCTGTCACGCTAGCCATAACAGTAATAAATGTCTGTATTAACGCTGCTGGTTCGTTTGTGCCGACGTTGACGCTGTTGTCGACAAATCAAATGTTGTTATTACGGAAGCGACAACGTTATCTATTTAATTCATATCATAAATAGATCGTCGTCGGTCAGGCTAGCGGCAGGTGCTCAGGCGGTCATGCCAGTGTGCCGCAGAAAAGGCATTGCTCTACGACGATAATACACCATCCATCGATAACAACACTCACCAGCCGCTATGCGTTGTTATCGAAAGGTAGATAACATCAGCAGTTGCATCTGCAAAGCCGCCAACCGAGGATCCTGTAAATGAGTGATTCAATGATTTGTGGAAACGATAGGCGATTGCCGATGCAGGTGATGGTCGCCATCAGGAGCCAATTACAGTCATCTTTGCTAACCAGTAATAGAAATCTTAATGATCATCATCGTAGCGCAGCGCGGACCCCTTTCCAGATGAATGCATTGGCGCGTCTGTGTACACCTGCGAGCCTTAAGATGCGTATCCAAATTGTGCAGGTGTATCCTACTAAATGAGATAGAAAAATGACATGTTTGATCATGCCTATGCAAAATGCAGATGTATTACTTTAGACGATTTATCGCTAGCGGGACGCAGTTGAGACGGCTAGTGACTAGAACCAAGCTTCATTCGTCCATGTTTCGTTCTCCAACCTTCCATCTGTCTGTAATACCATTTACATTCGAATCTATACGTTAATTACTAGCTTCTAGACAAGCTCTACTGCCAATGTACTCTATTGTAACAATATTACAACACCACAAGCGTTTGACCGATCACTCTGATACATAAATCACCCATAAATAAGGATGAGCCCATGACTCATAACGTGAGTATGGTCGGATACGTATATATGTAGTATCGTAGCAAAGCCATATTCAACTTGAACGTTTCAGTTCAGCAGAAGCTCAGCAGCGTTGAAATCACGTGGTGATCCTTGCTCTTCAACAAAATGTAACAACCCTAGGGTCTACAGGGATGGTCTGAACTTTTTTCACCATAAAGCCAAGCACCTCCGGACCTGCCGTTAGCCATTTTATATATTTCTTTATTCAAGCCAAATCAACCTGCAAGGAAGTACTGCCTGAAAATGATTGAGCTTTCGAGATTTTCTATACTAATGGTAAAACAACTATTAAATTTCTTTCAAGTTATGCTATATATATACTGCTGTTGGCAAATGGGTACAACCTGTACTAGTGAACTCCTATTTGACGGTAACAAAGAACGATCGTGCGGCTCTTTCAAACCGCTTTTCTAATTACAGAAAAGCCTCTAGCCTCCAGGAAAAGTATTTTGTAGTTTTAAATCTGGAATATTACAATTGGAAAAATAATAGATTTTACAGAAATTTCAGCCCGCATGGCTTAATGTTCCTTGTTCGACTAGCAAACGTAAGATTCTTTTAGTTGACGAAAACAATTCGCCAACAGCTGCAATATTTAAGCACGGGCCGACATGCGATTATATCGAATCATGTGCTGCTCCACCTGCATTCCTCCTTTCGTTTTTCAAGATGAGGCTACGGTAAAATCTTTGTTATTTATTAACATAGGATTTTATCCGGGACGTCTACTAACATGTTATCCGAGGCTCAGAAGCGAATAATTTACATCTTTAATACCAAATAGTCTCGGTACGTGTGTGAGTGTGTGTGTGCATGGAACCAAATTTGCTATAAGTCAAATTTAAGATACAAACATTTATGTAAACTGTACTCGTGAATTTTGTGATTTCTACGTAGCAATTATGCAGGGTTTTTATAAGTAGTAATTTGTGCTTACGAATGCCACTATACGATGCATAGTGTGACGTTTGGTATGGACAACGTATCCACGAAATTGAAATTATACAACTCTGACTGGAGATAGTGCCTACATCAATGCTTCTAAGGAATATTCGAATAATCTAGTTCGGAGCTCATTTGTTCCCGTAATGATGCAGCGTACCTTTGTGCCTACTAAAGTTAGAAACAGTAAGTCTTGATGCTTAACAGCAGCACTCGATGAAAAGAAACACTTTTTAGTACAGAAACTATTCACAATAGATTGTAATAAAACACAAGAGAAAAAAAATCAATGACCATATTACACGAAGACAAAGCCAAAGTATACAAGCAGCCAACTAAATTAACTAAAGTAGTGCAATAAATTATAGCTAATTCCGAAAAATAAGGAATCAGAAGAACATTAGGCTAAATTTAGAGACTGTACGTTGTGCAGTTCTTTTAGCGTCGAAAGATCGTAAGCAGGTACCCTAAGGTGTCGCTCAGATGACGCCTCAAATAACGATGTAAAATTAGACCAGCTACCTAAGGAATGAAAGGTTAAGCTTGGAAATAACTTGTGTGGTAAGGTTTGCGTGTAGAATTACACATATACTGAAATATAGTTTCGTAGCTATTCTATCTGCAACGGTTCCTGAGTCATGCGCAATGACGAGTAGTGACATACAACGGTATTTAGTAGGATCGGCTATGCTGATTAAGCGGGGCAATTACTATGCACATTAATAGGACAGACCACTGCCCAACAGTGCTAGTCAGTGCCTAAGAATGCAGTCTGAACGTTTTCGCGTAGGCCTTTCATCCATCTCTATAAAGTTATTTTCTTACCAAATGTAACTTACCATTGACCGATACATGACAGCTCCACAAGAAGATTTCAGCTGCATGTGGTTGTCAAAAGAACGCTGAGAACTATTAAAAAAGTAAAAAGAAAATGTAAATACACCGCAATTTGCTACGTAACATATACATGTTACGTACACGCATCGGTGCGAAACATATATACATTCAATCTGTTACTTCTAATGTGCTTCGAACTAGACAGATGGCGAACATATATCAACAAAATTGGAATCACAAAGTCATGTTACAACCCTTAGGCAATACAGACCCTCAATAGCATATACGTATATATCGTACCTTGTGCCTATAAATAGCAAAAGACCTCCATGCATATTTCGGGGTTAACCAAATTTTAGTTGGATTTTGCGAAATTACTTATTTGAAACTTACTTATATGTTATTCCTTTTAACTGATCGAATTTTAAGAACTGTGTTCTAATGCAAAATTTGTGAATTTTTTCGACATAAAACACTGTATGGCCGCGCTCAAACTTGCCTTTAGCGTGCCAAACACGCAGAATCGTGTGAAAACCGTTGTCCTCATACATAACATAGATGTGTCTGTATTATCGAGCAATATTTTATATATACGAACTTCGGATGCAACGGCAAAATGAAAACATTATCAGCTGCCATGAATGTGACAGCAGGTCATCAGTTACTCAAACTTGTACAGCCAAATGCGGGAAAAACATGTACAAGTTTTTTGAGAGTGCGCTAAAGCAGCATGACTTTCCTAGCAGAGTCGACCATGCGATGCTCTTTCAACTAAAACGAGAAATAGTTGCCCTTTAAAAAAAGACTTTGAAACATCAGCTTTAATCTATTAAATATTCAATTAGTCGTATCGTACAAACGCTGAAGTCCTCGATTGACGACGGACGGTGCGTGAGAGAACTTCCTTCGTTGAAAAACTAGTTTGATAGAAGAAGAAGAAACGAACATGATATTTGACAGTTTCTAGAAGATACCTCGGTTGCAGTGCGCGAATGATTGTCCATAACGTGGCCATCGCTGACTTCGGCACAGCGGAACATTCTATTCCGGAAAAGGTTATGGGGTGATTTTTGAAAAGTCCCGGACGACTTCCTAAATCATCACGAAGTTTTACTAACTTCAACAAACGAAACCCTTTTAAGCATTATTCTGTGGACATTACACTTCTGGGATGCTATATGGATAAAATAACAGCTAAAATGACGCATTGGTTTTCTGGTGGAAAACCTTGAAGAATAAAGAAAGAAACGTTTTCCAACTCTGTTTGCTAAGAAGTTGGTTGACGGAACTGAATTATACACGTGATTTTGGCCATCGAACATCTTTGAGGGTAATCTTTGTATATTGTGAACCGCACGTAAATGCGTTTTCTTCTTAACTTTTAGGTAAATCGGCAACGGAGTGGCCATTTTGTACCGAATATCAAATGTGTAGTACATCTCAATATTTATGAAGATTTTGCTTTTCATATTAGAAATAAAGCAAACATTACGATAATGTTGTATCTTAAAAGCTACTCAATTACGAATTGGCACAGGTCACTTGTTTTCTACACATTGAGTTTATGAGTGGCAGAAATACGCGTCAACGCTATTATAAATCGTAAACATAAAAATTGTTTTGAATCAGATACCATAGGCCATTAATTCACAAATGAAAGGCACATGAACATTATGAATTATTGCTAATCAAAGGTTGCATTTAGCAGACATCATCCGCGCAAATTTGGCTGCATTGGCAGGCTATCGCATTTACATAACTCGATGTAAACATTTGGCTCTTAAATACTGACATCTATAAATCAACACAGTCTTAATATGATAATGTTATCTTAATGAGATGCCAGGAAGTTTGTTTCGAAAATGATCACAAAGACAGGTAGGTATACAATAGACCGGACAAATTCTATTGTAGGTGCTAGAAAGACTACTGAAAACATTACGGACTGTAAAGTGTTTCGCTTCCAGAAGAATATCAACTCCACATAAAATATTGTGCAGGGATAAACAAACGGCAGACGATACGCGACAGCGTACGCGCTTCACTCTTAAATGTTAGAAACTTTACTAATCTTAATAAACCAAAGTAAATGAAACATTATGGTGCTGACCAATGGTGAAACAAATACCTTCTGCATGGAGTATCACTGAGTAAACAGTTCTCGCAACCTTGTAATCACAGTAACTGCTGTTTTGTTTATATGTAAAGAAGCACTACTCTTGATTTTCTGCCTAATAAGGAGAAGCGCAGAACAGTACCTGTTTGCATTATTTATAAGCACTTGTCAACACAACGCCATCCGATACAAACTGGTTGAATCACTACGCTCAATCGGAAAAATCATCACGTAGCTATTTTGTATCTATAATTCTCAAAGAGCCTTGTGGTCGGTTTTCAGTCCAATTCATAACGATCGATTTAGTACGGTGCCTTTAGCAAGGGCCTATATTTAGGATAACTTCATTTAGCATACAAGTATAGACAATTATAGCACCAGTGTTACTACGAGCAAGTATTTTTAATTATTATATATATCTTGCGTTCTATATTAAAC